CTGCTGGCCAAAAAATATTTCCTATATTTCCCATACCAAAGGTGACATCAAGACAAGTAGTAAAACGGGCGGACCAAACAATCCATTTTTATAGAAGACGAAGGTTTTGGATTGATTGTCAGAATGTCAAACAACAACAGTAAGCTGGTTTCGAAGAAGAGAATGAAAATGAAGATGGAAGATGGATAGTGCGAAGTATACGTGCATTTATAGGGGGTGGAGATGAAGAGACAGAATATGAGCAGCCACATTCTGCCTAGTAAACAGAATTAAGTAGCCTAAAGTCTTGGGAAAAGAGGTGAAAATATCAAGAGAAAATGTGCAAGATTTTTAGCACAAAGCAATTAAATGCTCGAAGAATTGGCGATTAAAAGACAAACGTCAAATAAATGCACAAGAAGTTAACATAGATGTTCATTAATGATGAACAAGGTTACAAAGGGAAAGTCAAATGCGAAATTACAAAAAGAAAAAGTTAAGGCGTCATATGTCTTAATTACAATCCGCCCCATACCGAACGAATTCGTTCCCTAAGTTTTTCTCAGTCCTCATTCTGCCGAGAGGAAGTGATGTTCAATTCGGCCACGACATCATCATCAACTTCCAACTTCTTGTACTGCTCGACCAAAGACTTACTTCGCTCAATTCCCTGGGAGGCGTTACGCTTTTTAGCAGCCATTCTCGCCTTCCAGTCATCCATTTTGGCTTGAAGTTCCTTCATCTGAGCAGCCAAACTAGCCATCAAAGACTCTTCAATCATGACTTCGGAAGAGATTTCTTTCAACTTGTCCTCAGCTTTGTTGATCTCCAGACGCAAAGACTCTTTTTCAAATACGATGCGAAGATATTGAGTACTTTTGGCCTTCAATTCAACATTCTTGGCCAGCAACGAGAGGACCTCGGAATGGATAACTTTCAACGTCGCTTTAAAATCAGCAGAAAGATTGAGCAACAAAAGAGCATTCAAATGCTCAAGCTTATCCTTATGTCTGGCAGTACTAGCCTTACCAATGTCCATATCCATGAAGGACACGTACTCAAATATCGACTGCTTGAAGAACTTCATATCTTCCTCTGAAGAAGTAGCAGGACGACCAGCTGGAGTAGGGCGAGATGTCTTGACTTGCCCCCAGGAAGTGAACAAGTCTTGGATGGAACGCACAATCTTATCAGCATCCTGTAAAGAAAATTGCCAATATTGAAGATTATCACTACAACGAACAAGATGGAAATAAAAGTGAAGCAAAGATTACCTCATCAATAATCTTAGAAGATGGCATATCCTCAGCCAAGTTTGCCACCTGTGGCTCCACCATTTGCGAGGACTTCCCCTTGTCTGAGCGAGAAGATGTTGCCACAACGGGCAGACTCATAGGAGCATCTGCAGAACTCAAAAGCAACAAATCAAAAATCAATAGCACAAACAAAGGTAAAGCATCAAAAAACTGAATTACCTTCTGCTTCAATGTTTGGGGGGTTGACACCCTGGGAAGAAAGTGGCTCATCCATTGGTTGTGATGAGGATTATGGGACTGAAGATGTATCTTTAAGCATAGTCCCTTCATCAGCTAGTTTGGATGAAGCAGCCTCAGCGGAGGATGATGGAGCAGGAGCTGCCGATACCAAAGCCTTTAAAGGAGAGGCTGAACTTTTCTGAGAAGTCCAAATAAATCATCAGCACACAGAAAAGTTTCAAGTATGGAAAAGTATGCTTGTGAGTAAACCAATTTAATTACCTTCCTCCTGATGATAAGAGGGGTATCATCATCATCATCAACATCATCCTCCAGAATGGAAGATGCTGAGGTTGGCCGTTTGCGGCTCGAGACACTTTTGGCTGCAGTAGGCTTGACAGGGAGAGAAGAAGATGGACAATCAGACTGTTTAGTGCGATGAGGAGGAAAAGAACTCCGGATGGACAAAGGGGTGACTAAAACAGGAGG